TTTATGTAGGTCCCAGTGCGTAAACGTGGGCGCGTCGGCACATGATTGGTCGCTACGCTGACTAGGCGGTGCAGACAATCGATGTCCGATGAGTCAGCTTAATGCGACGTGTTTGTGCGTATGAGAAAAAAAAACAGGCCTCGCGATCCAGTGAGCGGCTGAGTTGAACAGTCAAATATGTGGGTGACTGGGTCGCTACAATCTGTACGCAGAGGCCGCGTCTCGCTGCGCGCTGACGACAAAAAGCTCCCGGTGTTTGACCATCGATATCTATGGAGATTTTCCCAAGACTGGTGGAAACACAGGATTAGTAGTGCTGAAGTACGCCGAATGGCTTTCACAAAATAACTCGCCGCGTCAAATGAACTGATCACACTTCAGAGGTTACGCTGACCTGGCCACGTGCCCGACCTATTTCTCCGAAGAGCCCTTTTGGATCGACCACAGGAAAGGTGAAAACGAGCCAGGGGGAGTCAAGCACCGAATTTAGGAAAGCCATTGTCATCAAAGTCAGCTGGACTGGTCACGGTCATCTTCCTGGATAGGGACCCCTAGACGGGATACAACAGTGGTTAGCAAATTTAACAGACATCATCCAGTCGATCTCTTTATGGCGCGCGCGTATCCAAGCTGTTGCCTTCAATGTATAGCTCTCCAACCCATTTCCCAAGTATCAGCCACCGCCTCCGATGTGAAGTCATCATCCCAGACTCCTCAAATCATCAGCGAAAGAAACTGTGGCAGTTATAACCACGGTAGGGCAAGTAGCGGTTTTTCACAGCTGATGGAATGATGAATGACCCGGATGTTTACAAGCAGTCCACCACTGCTATCTGTTACGAGTGGATGATTTCCTGACTGACTGAAACGAATCACCGCTATTTTATTTATTGCCAGGCTTGGGAAACCGGACAATATCCCAGCCCACGTGCTTCCTTCCGCTGGCATGGAAGCTAGGGCGTTACAGCTGAATGATTTTCATTTTATATACTGCCTAAATACACATGTACGTACGTTCCCAGATAAGCATACAGAGATGTAGACATCTGGAAACCCATAAGTTGAAGATAACGTGTTCAAACAAAAGAGCCTCCTGACTTACCGCCAAAAACGTCACCTGTTGATGAACAGAAGCTCATGGCACCCACAAGATTTTTCGAACTGGGGTTCAATATAGCAGATGGTGGTTGGTTGACTGATATCAACAAATCGACAAACTGACCAGGGTGTGCTGGAGGCAAAGGTATGCGACCGGACGGACCCAAAGGGAGCCACATTACGCATCCCGTATGTGGATCTTGGTCCGCTAGCTTGGCTATGGACGGGTTGGACTGAGACAAGATTACGGGACAAAAACTCACTCACTTCCGAGCGAATGTAGCAGCCTTCGTGCCATTGACTAACACCAGAGTTTTCAACAGTAACCTTGAAAGTTTCATACGTTCCCTTAGAACTGGTAGACGAAGGCCATACTCTTAGATCATAAGGAGGGCGCGTAAATGTTCCAATATTTACGGAAGGCGTGGCTAGGGTCATGGTGGTACTGTTGTTGACCATGCCTGAGAAGCACGGTGGTGAATTTTCAAAGCTGAAATCAAAGTAGGCACCCACTGCACGTTGTATGTTCCTGCAAAAAATTATGCAATGCCTCTTAGTGACGAACATCCCACCAGTCAGACAGCTCCAAGAAAAACCTGCAAGAATCCGTGGAAATATCAGTCTCAACCACTGCTTTTAGCTGATTCACCAGCTCCTCCTTATCTCTCGTGCCCAAAGCACTGAAACGCTCGAGCAACTGCGCATCTAGTTCACAAGTGCTCAGCTCCATCGTTAACTTTAATTGGGGGATAATTGGAACATTTATGCGGCTTAGGGAATCAAGCGACCAACCAGATCGAACGCTCGCAAATGATTGGGCAAATTACTTTATTCACCACTCTGATGTGAACCAATCTGACCCACAGTATTCGCACAATGGAATTGAATTTTCGAAACCTGAGTTATTTTATTCTTGATGAACTAAGAGAGACAGGTAATTGGGTTCATAATACAAGTTCGAACCTTCTACCTCCATCTAACCATTCAGGGGTCTCAGCAATGCTAAGAAAACATTCCACAAGACCTTTTGGTTTTTTCAGTGGAAAATGAAATTCCGTGAACTGCGAAACTATAAAAGAAGAATAAAATGATTTTGATTTGAGAACCTGTGCAAGAAAATGCAACATTATGGCGCAAAAATTTTTATTTCACTCGCAAATTTTCTGCAGGTAAGAGCACTTTGCGACCAATAACCCCAGCCGATCATATTCAGCCCGATCGGTTCAGCTGTGTGATGAATATGATTCATGTTCCATCTGTTGCTCTATTCATTATTACCTTGTTTTATTATCCAAAATGCTGTATATAACCGTGAATTAGAATACATACGTGCTACTTGGTACACTGGGCTGAGTTCTGGATTTCTAGTTCGTATGGTTATGCCGACATCTGTGCGGGACTTGATTACTACATTTTGGCGTCGCGATCAAGACTATTCATCATGCCTGCTGAAATACAACCATCAAATGTTAGTTCAGCTGCGCGGGACGTACAGGATTCTTTGGAACCCTTCAACATATAGTGTCATACAAAATCTGATGCGAATGATAGGAAATTCTCATTGGTAGCTGCACGATTCATGCGAGATATCACCAAGGTACCTCTATCTATTGTACGTTTTAGTTACAACCTCGGGAGCATCGATAATCGGACTGAAAATTTCGCACTCACTGCGAATCAGCATCACTTTACTGAATTCTGTGAATCAGGATGAGCCAAAACAACATATTATTTAAGGTTCTAAGGCTACAGGTGATATGCAAATATCCAAAGTGAAGCTCGAAGCTGCAGGAGATCCTATGTGTCCAAGAGACGAATCATTCCATTTGGCTTACGTGAACCAGTTCATCAGGCATAATTCAATGAGAGAAAGGAAAACAGACTTCCGTTGAAACGTTAAACTGGGTAAATCCGATAGTTATCCCAATAAAGTCTGATACTATCATTCCAAAAATTTGTCGAGACCACCGGCGAACGCTGAATACGCTTCAACCACAACGTACATGCATTATGGAAGAGCCCGAAAATATCCCCATCCCTTCTATCAGGTTCAAGGATGCCTTTAAAAATTCGACCAAAAACTGCTTAACTTCAAATCATGCTGCATGAAACCTCTATAGATTGACCATGATTTACTTTCGTTTGGGTCATTCCGATACAACATCCTTCCATTTGGTCTGAAAGTTTCACCAGCTGTATTTCAAAAAGTAATGAATACTCTGGCGAAAGATTTGGAGATTGTCGAGACGTACCAAGATGTTTTCATAGTGCACGCCGCTGTTAAAGGTACTCACGATTTGCGTCCGTTGTCTTTACTGGAGCGATTTTCTGAGTTCGATGTAGCCATTCATCCTGGTAAATGCACTTTTGCAGTTACATCACATTCATGTTTTGGCTACATTTTGGATGGCAGTGATTCAAAGCCGATTCAAACCGTCTATCTCCCCTTGTAAATGCACCATCACCAGCTGAGCTACAAGAACTGAGTTCAGTTCTAGGAGCACTTCAATATTATTCTCGTTTTGTTCCTAATTTTGTTAAACAAGCAAGTTACTTGTTTGACGTCATATCTACCAATCAACTTTCCTGACTCCCTAACCATGGAGAGACGTTGCGCGCATCGCTTGAGGATTCTCAAACTTCAGCTGTTTTGACACCATTTTCTGCCAAACATTATTCGGCCATCATTACTGATACTTCTCTCACTGGAATTGAACAGCGGTGGTTGACCCTGGTCTGTATTTTCCGTCGACTCTCAAAGGTCGAACGTGGGTATTCTCAACCACAACCGGAAGCAAGTGCGGTATATTGGGCTCCGTAATTAACTTTTTGGATCAAACTTTACTAAGGCTGCCGATCACGAGGCCTTCAATTTTTTTATCATCCTACAAAATCTCTAACGAAGTCATCTGCTGCTATGGTGCAACAGTGGATTATCACACCGAGTCCTTACACCTAAAAAATTGGTCATCGTATTGCGAAGATGATTACTGATGTATATTTTTTATCCAGAATAACATTATGCTACTCTGATTCGAACCAGTCAGATTGCTTTTTGATTCAACAGTTATCAGTTTAGCGAAATGCACTCTTGCTCCCGTTTTTCCAAGCTACGAGGTTGCTGGACATAGCTACGGCGATGTCGATCTCCTACATTTTATCGTTTGACCATTATTCCGGATGGCTTCACTTCCGTAGGCGCGATAAATTGTTTCGATTCCGACGCGAAAATGTAATTGTGTTCAGCAGGTATATCACTGTAACCAAACGAACTAGAATTCAGAATTCATTATGTCGTATCAAGCATCGGGTAGGCATTCAAACTGACGTAGTTTTATAGCACCTAGAATATTGAAACAAAAATATAATGAATAGAGCAATGAATAACGCATCAATCATATTCATCCAACGTTTTAATTTTTTTGAGAATTGTGGAACGGTAAGCAAGACATCGATTCAAACTGAAATTGTAGAATAGTAGTAGCCGAATATTGCGATCATCACCTGTACCTATAATTGCCTTCAATTTTGATATTATGTTTTTCCTTCTACATGGGCCTGACTGTGGAATTGAAGATCCGAATCGCTCGGGAACTCCATTGGAACGACACAATTGTAACGTTATGGGCTGGTAGCGGAGGTAAATTCAGATATTCAACGATCGCGATAGGAACTCGGTGAGTCTTTAGCACGATTCTTTTTTCAAGCGTTGTTCGTCCGTTTTTGGCGGTAGCCAACCACTGAGTAGAGCCGTTGTTATATTATCATTGTAGGAACCTCCTATAATAGGTCAAACACCAGGATAAGAAGCTCTTCAGTGTCAAAACACATCCTCCTGGTCGAACTTTGTAGATCCCTGAGAAAACTTAGCATATGTGCTCGGAGGCATTGAAGCAAACACTGGTAGCCAGTAGTCTGGGTGATGAGCATTATTCTGGACACGATGACGGAGCTCAATAATCCGACGACCCTAATTATCTGTTGCAAGCAGCTGATGCTGTGGGGAGAATCACGGGAACGACGACATGGTCAGACAGGCGTAATTGTTTTGCCAGGGTCGATGCTGGACAGTGAATGCATGACTACCAATCGACAAAGATGACTAAGATATTATAAATCCTGAACATCTACAACAGGGGCTGGACCGGTAGTCGCGCACCCACACCGAAAATATCCTTATGACCCAAGGTGGAAGAAATGTTTTCGATGGCAGGAGGAAAAGTTATGCTTCTGTTCAGATCGGAAGGTCATAGATCCCTGCGTTTGGATATGGGAGCCACGTAACGCGGCCTCTAATGGTACCACTGAAGTGGTCAGTAGTAGGAGTTATCCTAGGCACTAATCTTTTGTTGTCACAGGCAGGTAGGTTACGTGCGAGTTTTAAATGTGTGGCACCAAACTGCGACGCTACCAGACTGCAAGTTGTGACTCAGAAGGGCAAGCTCTATACCGGGTCACCAGCGCCCAGCTTTTGGGTCATCTGCGTGCATGCAGAGTAGCCAGTCCTACCTTGCCTCGCATATCAAACAAGGATGCGTTTACCACACCTGATGGGTTGGCTGCAAAAGCGAACAATATGCTTCTTGTCGCGCTCAAAAACTGACTGCTAGCTACCTCGAAGACAAAGTTTTCATCTGCCTAAAACTAGGCACCTACCTTGGCCCAATTTGTACTTGGGTTCTAGATCAGCAAACGCATTCAACTTTCTTGGGTCCAATCAGCTTGCTGTCATCCCTTTTTAGATTTTTTCTATCGACGCCGTTGTATCTTATGCCTCCTAACACCCGCCACGCGCTACTGCTTTCATTCTATTTCTTTCTCGTCGCCCCCCTTCCCAAGCTTCAAGCCTCCACTGCACTTGCCCAAACGCCCCTTAGAATTGTTATTCACTCAAACTGGCTGGTGTCCTGTCTACACTCATGCGGTCCTCCAGCAAAAGGGAAATTATCCGTGAACCTACATCTGCATGACTCCCCGTGTCAATCTCCGTCTCACCCAGGGCCAGCTGCCACGGAACTGTGTACCCGTACTCCGACCCTTGACAACCGTTATGGGGCTATCCATAAACCGAAGCATGTCAGAGCGATGATGGCATGGCACTGTCATACCCAGTGAGATGGCACTCCCGCAAATATTTTCCCCAGAATCTCGACCGCAACCCCTCGCCCACTCAAGCCTGTAGCCACAACTTTGAGCAGTTTTGATCCGGCCCGTCTCTGGGATGAGCTCTTCCGTACCTAATGAATTTTCGCACCAAGTTGACTAGTCTGGCTTTCCTGCTGCAATTTTAGCTTGCCTCCTGCACAAGTTCAAATTCGTATAGGGGTTCCGGTCGCCCTATGTATTAGCAACTTGCCCCCATCCTACCTATTCCCCGCACTGACGTCCCCACAACAGTGCAACCAGTGAATCAGCTTACTCTCAGATTAAACCCCATTTCTGAGACAAAAATTGCCATGTGCTCCCAATTCGAATTATTCCATTTCCATCTCCACTTTTGCTCTTTGTGACTCCGGCCATATACACAACCGCCCAAGGTCACTCATGACCAGCAATGCTTTTCAGTTTTAGTTCATGCCACCTGGCTGTCTTTGAACTAGTCGGACCTCATGCCCATTGTTCCCAACTAGTTGAGAAAGAAGCCTACTATTACTATATTATCGGATATTCCCCGCTGTTTATGACATTGTCCTCTTTTTGTGCAATCCGCGCCCCCACAAACCCCCCAATCATGTTCCATTCTGACTTTAAAACTATGATCATGCCAGACGGTATGCCACCCGCAAGTTGGGAATAAACACCGTTAGTATGTATGTATCTTAAACGTCCGGAATAATTTGGAAAAGCTGATT